TTTCACTGCCCCGCTTAATCCAGTGGATTATAAATATCTGGCATAGGTATGGTTTCGAGCTTGGTCGTTCTGATCGTTTATGGGTCCCTCGTTCAAACTGGTTCCGTCCTATGTCTGCAGCGTTTTCTGGTCCAAATCCGTACGAACACAATCTCCAGATACCGGATACGAGCCACATAGGTGTGGCACCCCAAATCGAGCAGCAAACCTGGCACGTTACTACTGGTACAGTTCAACGTAGAGGACTTTCGGTGACAACTCGCGCTTCATTGGTCTCTTCCTTCCGCCCTACAACCTCACGTTGGCCGATAATTCCCCCAAACGAAACCTCTACGTTTTGAAAGTATAAACCCTTTTCAGGGAGGTGGGTTGCTGTAGTGGAATGCTTTTGCGAAGAGAACGCAAATGGTGGAAACGAAACATTTATTATTGTACACAAGTGTAACAATGACTGTTTTATTGTACTCTGTTTGTTTAGCTACATTAAAAACCATTACTTACATGCAACTTCCTGTTTTTGTTGCTGCCATTCTTCATTGCATACTACTCTTTATGTAGCCCACTTTCTCGGTGCAATTTCGGTGTTCTTTAGACGCGACGAAATCACCGGCAGATATATTCTGTATCCTGGATTTATTTATCTTTACAGTGACGGGTTCGTAATTAGTATTTAGTGGTGATCATAGTCAATCTCGACTCGATCACCAATAAAATGTCTTCATATGCAGTTTCGTCCATGACAACCTTGGCATTTAGGTCTCCCATCGTAATCATCAAATCCTTTGGTGGGCATCTGTCGACGATTGACTGCAGCCTTTTTTAGAATCGATCTTTAACGTCATCATTGTATTCACTGGTAAGTGCATGGCAATGAATGACGTTTATCGAAATGCCCTCTTTCTTCGTTTTGAGGGATGCTTCGGTAATCCTGGGTCCATGAGACTCCGATATCATTGGTGCCTTTTGTACTTATTTTGACAGCATCTATACAAAGCCTTGTGTGTAAAGCATTATTTTCTTGACGACCTGAGTATAACAGCAATTCTACTGAAGCCAGTATTAGTCATCCAATCTGAGTCCACTGCACTTTGACAGATTCCAAGCACCTCAAGGTTATATATTTTCATCTCCGAAGCAATTTAGAACACTCTTCCAGTCTACCACATCGTTCGAACACTGCAGTTACCTTTAAGAACGGTTTCTCTGGTTGTCATAGGGGCCATCAGCCTCGTGGCGTCTGACGGAACTCGGCTTTCATCATGAGATGTCATAACTCTTCTGAAAGAAGATGTTCTAACTCCCAGGGCAGCGTTAAAATGGTTTTGATTATGTTTTATGGTACGCTTTTTTCTATCGGGTGGGGTTACCAACCTCAAGCCCAACCATCCTGCTTTATCCGACCTTTCGACCGTCCGTTGCCGCAGACGTTCTACAGGCGGATATTTCAGATACATCCCGGCCCTCAAACAGATGACGCGGTTTGACCGAGGTACTGCTCATTACAAGCATTGCGCAATATATATTTCACTATCCTCTATCAAAGACAGCCCTATGTCCTGTTAAATTGTAATTACTCTTACAGTCCGCTTTTAACTTGCAAAGTGTAGGTTCATACGCGTCCTACCCAGTCCAGGACCAAAAATGATAATTCTGGGAGAGAATGTTCCAAACAATATTACACCTTCGAGTTTCCAATTACCACAATAGGTTCCGTTGCTAGAAGAATAAGTGCTTCCAGTTCGTTACTGCTACAGTATCAAATATGGCTGTAGCCATATTAAATATCAAATTTAAACAACATATGTATAGTTCAGAAGGAAACATAAAAACTTCAATATAAATACAAAATAGAGAAGTAATAACAAGATACAATGATAAAATCTCAAAATGGAATCTAATAGAGTACCAAAATGTCCAACAGAAGAGTCAGTCACATCATAACACAAATATATATACATGGAGGGATTTTCCAAAAACAAAACCTTCAAAATAGATTCTACATGTCCTGTAAGCTAACCGTGAACACTGAAACATTCACTAAAATTAAAGGATGTCGTTTAACTTCTTTGTTCCTGATTTACAGAGTATTTGGAGGTAGTCTGTTGTCCTTTCTTCTTCTAACGCTCTCCCACTCCTCCGTGTTTCTAAGAGATTCTTGAGTATTTACACACTCCGGCAGTTTCGTTGATGCATCAGCTCGACTTTTGGCTGCTTTCATTGCCTGTTTACTCGACAGTTTGTTGGGAAAATTAGGCTTCGCTGTTGCTAATTTTGTTGGCTTAATGATTATACACTGTGGACACACATACTGGAAGTACAAACAAGTGACTTAGCATGAAGCCATAGTACTATCTAGGTACTATATTATCATAATGACAGTAAACCCATCCATTGAACAAGTTACATTCAGATGTTGAGTTGCTAATTTTAACTGTGAGAAAGCGATACAATTATGATTGTACTGAGTTTTCGGAGTAGTAGGCAGTACCATCTGAGTCCTAGGACTCCTTTTTCGCATCGTCTATACTAAGAAGCCTTTGTCAGTGGTCACTTTAATAATCCTTGTAATTCCACGGATCGTTGCTACTTAACCTTTATGTTTACTTACTCCTTGTAAAACCATTCTATTTATTTTTTTAGCTGCTTAAAACCTTTCACTTGCTCACTTGGATTTGTACATTCTAGCTAGCAATAGTTTCTAATGACCACCAACCAGTGAATTCAAGTTTTTCTGTCATTCGCTCTGTGAATAGGTCTAGAAATTTAACACCATCATTAAACAGTAAAGCACGCGACTGTACTACATTTCACAGTAAGACAGTAAAGGGACCCAGAATTATACCTCAAGGAGCATCGCCGTAGGCGATTTTTAAATACCATGATCAGACAGATAACATACTTGTGGATTGCTGGTTACTATTAATGTACATTTATTATACTTGGATTGAAATACAGGCTGCACGTATCCAAAATCTTTCTAATTTCACGTTAGTTGTCTTTTGTTTATCGTTTTGTATTTATTTGCTCAGAATCGATTACAAAAACTCACATTTGGTTTGTATATGCATAATTTGATTAACTTGTTTAGCATACATTCATTCGTGAAGCAACAACTTATCTGTACCGTTATGCTTTTATTATTGTCACGTCTGTGTGGGCAGGTATGACTGAGCATTACCTACCGCCTACACGTATATTCATTCTAGTCGCTTAAACGTAAGCCTCTCAAATAATTCGATGACTTATTCATTTTCATGTGTATTTATATGTACATCTTAATCCTACTCACAAGCTTGCTCACCGGCTCGCTCTCATATCACTTTCGCTTCATTCGCCTGTGGTTTTGTGATTGGTGTGATGCGATAATAAATATGAACAGCGCTTCGTATTCGTCTTCTGATTTATACACGGTTGCGCGTTACCTAGCAACGGTTATCAGGACGAGCAGTACACGAAGTTTGCGAATATATTGAATACCGACCGCTATGGAACTGGTGATCCCGACAACTAATCTAACGCATCCCTCACTATATTTATTGTGCCCGTTGGTTGGATTTATTCTGTAGTCAAATATCGAGTAGATAGTGTCGAATTACTAATATATGTCAATTGATTCAAGTCATTTCGAAGCTTGAGATACCTTTAGTAGTTGAGTGTCTTCAATAATTTTTCAATTATTTGATGACGCTTGTACAAGATTAAGCTAATCATTCAAGACAGTGAAAGATGATATGAGTTGATTCAAGACATTTGATCATCAGCATTATAGTTTACGAAATTACGGTAGTAAGTGTTTCTAAATTTTGATCAACATAGTTCGAAATAAGTTTCATTAACCTAACCACATTATTTCTTCAGCCTATTATATATTCTGAATAATACTTTACATTTTTGGTTTCTTGATTTTCACTAATTTTCGCTAATATATTTAAGTCAATTGTATCAAATTGAGTGGATACTACGTTATTTCTAATTGATAAGCTAAATAATTGCAAGGATTATGCGAACTGTTTAAAATTCTTATGAATTTTGAAGATTAAGTTGGTCTATCAAGCAGAAACAATAAACTTTGCAAACTTTTTGTTTTCAATGTTAACTAAAATGTTATTTTCAATGGACAACTAACTAGATTACGGTATATAAAATTCTGTTTGGGAAAAAAATTTCAAATATAGGAATAACTAAAATATGATAAAATATAATATAATTTATCAGCCAGAAAAAAGATATAACAACATTTAAAGGGCTAAATAAAAACTCAGAAATGGAACAACACAGAAAGTAGTCATTAAATCATGTATAGTGAATGTTCAGGACCTAGATTTACAGCTTAATATTTCCACTTATTTATCTCGTCTTAGGGATTCTCTATACAACAAATCTGGACAATTAGAGTTCTCTAAGTATGATAATTAGATGGATGACAAAGAAGGTATGAATGGTGAGATTTATCATAAAAAGTTCAAATTGTCAGGAAGTTTCAGTATTTCTGTCTTTAAAATATGAATAACTTGACATGAAAAGAGAATTAGCTAACATAGTATGCAATAATGCAATAAATTCAAAAGTCTTATAGATCAGATGATTATGAACACTAGTCAAACCGCTGTTAAATTATCACGAAGCCTAATTATTTAAAGTATTCACCAAAATAATTTGTATTGTATTTCATGCATCGTTGAACACTCCTAGAAACTTCATGTTAAATATTCAGTTGAAATTATCAAAATATGTTGATTACGTATTAAAACAAATCACCAGAAAACAATTAATATCATGATTTTTATTAACACATATTACAATCAAACTCTACATATAATATATGCAATTATAGCCATAATTACTTAAGATAAAATAATAACCTTGAAAAAGTAAAACAAACAAATATATATTATGAATTCAATAATTAAAGTTAATAATTATTGAATTTCAAAAAAAAAAATGTTCCAGATATATAATATTGATGATGAAAACATTTTTTTTTATTGTGTATAGTTTTGTTAATCTTCATATTCTACATGATTTTCTGTAATGTTATTCATTTTTGTATCTTTATTGTTATTTGATTCTGAAAAAGAGAAGAAAACAATTTGAATTTAAAAATGAAATTTCACAATGATTAAATCATCCAAGATAGTTATTTTTTCCCTCTTCTCATCTTTTGATATTTTATACACAAATATTTATCATTTTTATGTTTGATACATGAGATTTACTTGTAGTATCAACTATAGTTTTCTTTAATGAATTAAATGAACTTTCATAGGGGCGAAAATATATGTTATAAAATAAATACTAAGGACAAATATGGCGCATGTTGACAAATTGAACATTTAACTTTTTTGACTGTTTTATTGTAGATTATTTTGCTAAATTTTAAAATTTATCATAATAAAATAAAACCAATGAAGAATTGGTATAAGCTTGTTGAAAATATCTATTTACACTGTTATTCATTGTAATTTTATCTTACTAATAAGAACATTTTACTAACTAGATATTTCATTGGTAGGTCAAGTAAACAATTAACTTCTTGATTACTATGTTACTATAAATTTGAAATAGGATAAGTTTTCCTGTTTTGGAACATTATTCAATTCTTGGTTTGTTTATGAAAAGAATAATACACAGTGATTTATTTACTCTAAGTAAGAAAAAAAATTATACATTAGAAGAAATTGAACTAATTTTCAAAAATGGCCACCAGTGATAAAAGTACAGTATTGAGATAAGTGAGTCAGCATCAGCAACGCAACGTTTAAGTTTCGATCAGAAATCTTAATAACATTTATAGTAAACAATTAGAGAACACTTTGTACACTTCTGGACAAAATTTAACTAGTTGACAGAAGATAATCTTTAGCAATCGTATATTAAAACAATCGTTTGATATGTACGAAATGTTCAGTGTTGTTTCTGTAAGCAAACACTATCTTTATCTCTTAATCTCAAATACTTAATCCTGAAAGAAACCTAAATCTACTGGGATTGAACTTTATGGATGAACTAATCTAACAGCAAAGCTTGCAATTCTGCATAAAATTCACTCACATTTGTGATTACAAAGCATTTTTGCTTCATATTCAATATCAGTTTGTGATGAAAACACTAAATCTAAACTCCTTATCTCTACCTAACCTTAACTGAAAACGATGTACACACCCTTAGAAATTTACTTAGTCCCTTATAATGGTTTGAGAAGTCAGGTGATCTATATAAATCGGGACAAATTTGCAGATCGTTGATGCTTTTCTCCGTTTACAAGCAGAGTATCCTGTAGAAGCCATTGATAGATTCATGAAATGTGTAAAATCTGTTTACATTCCATGTTGCTTTTCTATAAACCTACAATATAAACTATCCGTTCTTTGATCGAGCTGCTGTTTTAAGCTCCTCCCTACAACATTATACTATCACGGCTTTTATCAGTAATAAATGTAGAAAACACAATTATCTAGTAAGTTTATTCAAAGCAGTTTCATTAAATTTCATTTGCTTTTATATGTTTGTACAAGATCTGACTTTGTCTGTTAATGACTAGTATAAACGCAATGATCATTTTCTTTTTAATTGGTTGTTTAGTCAGCCAATAGCAGTACAAGATTAGCTTCATTAACTAACTGTGATATTTTTATTTAAAAATCTATAGAATGGTTAACTATACTTTGCAACGTATTATGTAAAAAGTCATAACTTTGTAAGCATACAACTGAATTATTATTACAAAAACCAAGTGTTTACTCACTTTTTTCTATTGTATCTTTAAATACATCTTGGACAAGTTGATCGATATTCCACTCTTTTAATTCTTTGTCAAGACTATCCGATATCCAAACTCTTCTCGAGATCACTTCACCTTGAAAAATCAATACGAAATGAATGAAATAATTCTCTTTTAAAGTATCAATAAATTTCGTTGTATAAATCATCCTTTTTGGCACGATGTCGACTGAGATATGAAATCAAAGTAAGCTGTAACAATATTTATTGATTTTCGACAATCGGGAAAGTTCCACATTAATATTGCGATGAATCAAATGAGGCATGAAAGTTTTTTAGTGAGATGTTATAATATAAACAATATTCTTCCCGTATTGTTTAATAGTTGTGCAATTTTCTGAAACTACACCATATTTCGTAATACGTGTTTTATGGGTCGTGATTCGAAGTTCATTTAAAAAAGCTTAGTAATAAGTTGAAATATTAACTATTCATTTGAGTGGTACAGCTGAGAGAAATTGTATGACTGTATATGGATTACATAAATCGATCATTTGAATAGAAGTGACCAACATAACCTACTGAGGATTGCTATTTGAATTAACAACCTAATTTATTGATCAAAGCTGTTCTTATGAATTATAACATATGACATTTGTAATCCTATGATATAATTGGTCATATTGCTGTTTAAAATGCTTGTAGAAATTAGTTACGAAACTTTTTGATGTGTCTCCAAACAAAATATCATCAACATGAAGTCTATTAATAATGATATCATCCAAATTTGATCTCAAGGGATTAATAAACTTTCTTTTAGATGATGAGACTTGATCAGTTATTTTCGATACATGTACTATTACAATTGTTGTATGAATTTGTGTTTTCTGTTTTCTATACCTAATCTCAAACGTAAATCATGTGACTGACAAGGTCAACTGGACTACAAAATAGGAGTTGATCGGATAAACTTTTGATCTTTAAAAAATTGGGTATTTTGTAAATGGTTATTTGGCTAGTTATTTCCTAACAAGATTTCTTGATTTTAACTAGTATACAGGAATTTCTCATCTAAATTATTGTAGATAAATATTAGTATGGTAATTTTGAAAACTTCATTATTGTACCAATCAGTTCTAAGTACACTAAAAAAAATGTAAAGAAACTGTATTACTGTACTCATCTTTGAATAGCAGATATTTGACAGAAAAAGTCATTACGGACAATATTATTCATTGATTATTGATTGTTCATTGGGTAATGAATAATATCATATTTATTCGGTCGTTTGAGTGTTGATCCAATTTCCTCAAGTGTCAACTAATTACAATCACTTAACATTACAGCTTAGCACATGTGATTTAGAGTCAAGTAAACTGGTGGGCAGATTACAGCTTGATCTGTAGAATTCAGTCAGTATTAAAAGGATTAGACATACATGAAATTAGTCACTACTCAGTGATCGGATCATTGTAAGTATCTCAGTCTTGCAATGAGTCAGTCACATAAGTAACATCGTCTCAGACTGTGAATCTGGTTGCCATATAGGGTAAAATGCACCAAGGAACACCAGTTCTCCTAACATTACAAGCACACCTTACTGACGGATGCCGAATGGCATGAAACCTAGGTTGAGAGTTTCGTATCGACTGTCTGAAGCTGCCTAGCAATATTATTCATTGTTTACCTAATTTAATAAGGAAAAAGGTTCTTTCAACGTATCTGATACAGAATTCAGCCTTCAAAATATTTAATATTTTGTTCATTATTCAAGACCTATTTTTCTTTCATGAAATAATATGAAAATAAATTTTCATTAGACCACCATTCGAAACCTGGAAGCTCTGGATGGCCGTTTCTTCCTGGTATGGGACTCATCAGTAGCAGTGCACATCCCCGACATCTACAACTTGCAGGATTCGAACCCGGGACCTTCGGTCTTGCATGCGAATGCCCAACCTCTGGAGCACTGGGCAAGCATCCGAACGGTGTTAATGTCTAATTCTGATCTATCTAGATATTTTGCGCGACCTCAGCCATTTGTCTTTGGTGATGATGTCCTATACCAGGACGAAACATCCGTCTAGTGCTTCCATGTTTCTAATAGGGGGTCTAACAATGATTGATTGATGATTTCAATGTGTAAAAACACAAATCTTCATAAATCTAAATGAAAATAAATTTAAAAAATAATATATTCAATCAAGGTACTTACGTGGAGACTGTGGTTTTATTTCAGTTGGTAAAGCTGTTTTCAACAAGTCATCTAAACCAAGTTGATCATCAAAGAACTTCATTATATCTTTATTTGTTATATTCGCAGTTCTACCCATTGTAAACCATGAAGTTTCTGTTTCTATTGGATTTTTGCCTATTTTAACATTAAACAAATGTTATGGTTATATTGATGTAATAAGATGAGGAGTTGGCAAAGGTTTCACACATATCAAGAAAAACTAAATGTAAGTGGACAACTAGTAGTTCTAGTAGTATGCATTCATAATCATATTCAGGTCCTATTTTTTCTGCTTACGAAATTGGCTTCTCTATTACAGCAGCATTTTTATTAAATCTTATTGATGCTTTAAACATTCACAATGATAGACAAGAAAATTATTAGAATTTCTATGATGATTTATTAATATTTTAAGTGTCAATCTAACCAAACAACGTTTGAAATATGTTCCTAAATTCTCAAATGAACTTGAGGAACTTGAGAATCGGTCAGTTGCAATACCATGCACATTGCTGATAGGAAATAAAGTCAACTTTGAAGGAGTGAAATTACTTCGAACATGTTATGACACTCATAAAGAACAACTAACTATGGAAGCTTCGTTTAGATGAACATACAAGAACAATGAAAACAGAACAGATGGAAGTGTATTTAGTTACATCAATGGAAATCTTCATCACGTAATAAATATCTTTCTGCAACTAAATCAACTTGATTAGACAAGTTTTTAATGTGATGAATTTGTGATTAGATTTCATCTGTTATTTAATAAAAAGTTAATTTTAATTATTTAACTGAAGAAGTTTTAATCACTGTAATTATTTACTGACTAGTTTGACATATAATCCTTTTTGCAGTCTATGAGCCGCCAAATGAAATTTCGACAGAAATTAGGCTCTCAGTAAATAGATTGCATTACATGAGTTTCGGACTACTGACAATCTATCCTCAAGCTTTTGCAGTTCGTTAACTTTAACAGTCAACTGTCTGAATATTGCTTTCATATGCACTAAACTATGTTTATAGCCTTTTCGATTCATCGACACATTTATGTTGTAACAGCGTAATAAGAGAGAAATCCAAAAAATCTAATCCCATCTTAATAATTTTCTCATTAAAATGTTCAAACTAAACAATTGAGTATTAAAAAAAGTCACGTCGATAATTTGGCAGAATCAGCATTACTCATGCCTAGCCTCAATAACAAATCACCATCAATAAGACCAGTTCAATGTATGTTACATCATACATTCATACAAACGAATGTTTTAACAAATCTCTGTATTCGACCTTGAACACTTCTATACATTCTTTTTATTTACCTGTTGAACAATAAAAAACATGCTTACTTTTCATATGCTCTTATTGTATAATGTGGAATTTATTGATTTATTGATTCATTAATACAACATATTCTTAACTGTCTTGAATACAACATTGACTATTTCACTATACCACAGTATATAGTGATAAATTTACTTACCTAAATTTATACTTCCATTCTTTGCAGAATTACGTTCAAATAAATCTTCATCTTTTGTATGATTATTAAGATAATTGAGTAGATCTTTATCAGTTATATTTTTATCACCCAATCTAACAATCCATGTAGTTTCAATCACTTCATCTTCATCTAATCAAAAAAAAACAAAACAAAAATCAATCAAAAGGAAAAGAAATGAGAATAAGAAAAATTAATTCTGTACATAATAGATGGGAATATTTACTTGCATAAGCATTCTTATCAATCGATGATTCAACATCGGGTGTAACAGTAGTGACATGAACAGTTACTGTTACAGTCAATCTTTTGACGTAGGAAATAGGTCAAAAGTTGGAAAAAAAAACCAAAATATTATTTAATCAAAAGTTTGTAAATAATCATTTTAACACACGATGAAGAAGAGATATGTGAGGTGTTATGAGACAGATCATTGTTAGAAAAAAAATGATCGACTAACCTAGATTAGATTTTCTCTGACTCCTATTGGGAATGTTTGATCCCTAGAACTCACTTGGAAAAGGTCCTAATTTTGGATTTTATGTTTTAGCGAATGGGATGATTAGTTGACTTTGAGATTACATTTTCCACCGGCAAAATACTTGAATGTTATTGGATGATGTATTATTATTTTAGTACGCTATTTTTGTGGCTCTCCCAAGGATGTTTCTATGATGTATAAATAAACTCGATTTGTGTGTTTGTGGACCTCGATTTTCTGGGTGCTTGTAGAATACACTTTCTACGTCTTACCAAGACTAATTCCCCTACTTACGGGGGCCTCGGGACGCTCAGATTAGAGTAGCCTATCGTGTCACTGGATCATTTATCTTCGCTCTCTTTTATTGACTAAGGTGAACTCGCGATAGTTTCAAGCATATCAGTTGACGAGCATAACAACTACGTATACGTATGTACTACTTTATATATATATATATATATATATATATATATATATATATATATATATATATATATTTGGAATCATTGTTGGACCACCACTAGAAACCTGGAAGCACTGGGGAGCCGTTTCGTCCTGGGACTCATCAGCAGTGCGCATCCACGACTCTTGCACCTCACAGGTTTCGAACCCGAGACCTTCGGTATTGTGCTCGAACACCTAACCATCCGACCACTGGGCCGGCATCCAGCGGTGTTAATATCTAACTCTGACTGATCGTCACTAAACAAACCTGTTTAGATGTCTTAACAGGATAGTAAAAAGGATATAATCTGATGACTCCGTACATGTATTACAGTTTATTTATATTTGACTGATCAGAATAAGTTATCCGTAAAGCTTTTGGTGGAATTAAATGTGTACAGTGGATAAAGAGTTAGAGGTACAATCCGTTTTGCAAGAAAACCCTTTTCAAATGGAATACTGTCAACAATATCCTACATAATAGACTTAAAAGGAATGTTAAAAATTCTTTTTACATAGCCAATTCAATTAAATCCATCAATTCAGTTGCTCCTGTTAAGTTATAAAATAAAGAATGAATGAGTGTATATTACCCTACACACTGTGAAAAAAGGTCGGACGAGGTGCATTTTAGCACACCACAACGGTTGTGTGGTTAGTAAAATATACTTGAACAAAATAATAGTCCAGTGATTTTAAGTTCTCAATCATGGTCTAGCTAAGACTAGTTCGTCATTTAAACTGTAAAATCATGATACTTTAGTCGTAAATATGATGTCCAATATCAGAGATTGTATCTTCTACCTATCCATATGAGTTTTTTTTCTCATTTCAAAAAGAGTCACTTTTATTTCATAATTTAGTATTGAATTCTTTGTTCTACTCAATTGACTGATAAGAAATGCAGTGAATTGATTTTTATTTTACAAACTTTATTACATTTTTTTGGAAAGGGAAGCCCAGGACAGAGTTGGTTGGAGAAAACTGGTAGGCGGCCTTTGATCCATTGGGGGTAACAGACGAAAGTAAGTAAGTAAGTAAGTAAGGAGTATCATATACATTTATTACTTTTAGGCATCACATTCAAACAGTTGGATCATGTGATGCTCAACATGAATCACTAAAAATGTTAGAAAACTAATGCAATAATAACAATGATAATGATAAATTATGCATTGCTTCATAACTTACAATAATCATTTGATGAATTCAAAGAAGGTTTCTCTTTATAGACAACAGTTTTCTTCATAATTGGCTTGAATTCATCGCGTGATCTGGTAGTCGGTTTCTTTGGCATTTTTGTAATTTTCTTTTGTCTAATTGTGGTAAATGTGTCTCCGTCAACTTCATAATACTCATCGTCAGCTAAAAGTATTGATTAGAAAATTTGTCAAATGTGGAGATGAATACAAAAGTGTAAAGTAGCAAGTAAGTTGTTAATGTGTCTATCGATCTATCTATCTATCTATCTATCTATCTATCTATCTATCTATCTATCTATCTATCTATCTATCTATCTATCTATCTATCTATCTATCTATCTATCTATCTATCTATCTATCTATCTATCTATCTATCTATCTATCTATCTATCTATCTAACTATCTATCTATCTATCTATCTATCTATCTAACTATCTATCTATCTACCTATCTATCTATGTGTGTGCGTGTATCTGAGTGTGAGGAGGAGGTGTTTTGTGTTCGATGGTGAGCGTTGCTGCGATGAGTGGAGCGGTGATAGACAGAGTTCGTGTACAAGTGTGTTTGTGTTTTCGTGTGTGTGGGTGTGTCGCACGAAACATGTGACAACGTGTTGGTGTGTATTTGAGAGTGAGTCTGTGAGAGGTTGTTTGTGGGTGAGAGTATGTAGGAGTGGATGATTGGATTGTGTTGTGCAGCAGCCGAAGCCTGACGAGAGTGGAACACATGCACTGGAGTTGACGTGCGTGGCAGCACAGTGTCGCTGAGATGTTTGGCGCGACTCGCAATGGACAATGGAAGATTGACGGAAGGTGGATAGAAGGTTGTGAGTGACGGGACGTGCGATGCCGAAACTGGTGTGAAGATGTGTGTGGAGATGTGTGTGTAGATGTGTGGACAGTGGAGTGTGAATGGTGATGTGTGGTTGGACTCACGTTTCACTGGACCGGTGACCGGTGTCGAGCCGGTTGGTGTGCCGGATGGTGTTGCAGAGCGTCGAGGCCGTCTCCTCCTCTTGCCAAACTTGTCAATGTAGTAGATGTAGAGATCGTCGTCGTCCGGTGTTGTGCTGGAAGGCGATGCTGTGTCTGGTGTCGCTCCGGGCTCTACAAACCAAAGAGAATGCAAGAGATTCACGTGATAACTTCTGTGTTGTTGGATGTGGGAGGAGGCAGTGACAGTGAGAGTTGCAGTGGCGAATGTGCATGTGGTTGACGAGTTCGTGTAAGTGTGTGTGTCTGTGTGTGCGTGTGTGTGTGTGTGAGTGAGTGGTTGAGTGAATGAGTGAGTGATTGTGTGTGATACGGGTGTCCCTTGTTCAGTTGTGACGACCGAGTGTGGATGTGCGGATGAGACAGGAGACGATTTCGGTGGTGCTTGTGTCTGTGAGTCTGACTGTCTGTCTGTCTGACAGAGTGTGTGCCTGCCTGCTGTCTGCCTGCTGCCTGCCTGTCTGAGTGTGTGTGTGGATTGCGGTGTGCGTTTCTGTTCGCATTGGCCTCCATCTCTCTCTCGCTCGCTCTCGCTCTCGCTTCCGCTCTCACTCTGTGTGTGTGCGTGTGTCTGAGTGTGAGGAGGAGGTGTTTTGTGTTCGATGGTGAGCGTTGCTGCGATGAGTGGAGCGGTGATAGACAGAGTTCGTGTACAAGTGTGTTTGTGTTTTGGTGTGTGTGTGTGTGTGGTGTGTGGGTGTGTCGCACGAAACATGTGACAACGTGTTGGTGTGTATTTGAGAGTGAGTCTGTGAGAGGTTGTTTGTGGGTGAGAGTATGTAGGAGTGGATGATTGGATTGTGTTGTGCAGCAGCCGAAGCCTGACGAGAGTGGAACACATGCACTGGAGTTGACGTGCGTGGCAGCACAGTGTCGCTGAGATGTTTGGCGCGACTCGCAATGGACAATGGAAGATTGACGGAAGGTGGATAGAAGGTTGTGAGTGACGGGACGTGCGATGCCGAAACTGGTGTGAAGATGTGTGTGGAGATGTGTGTGTAGATGTGTGGACAGTGGAGTGTGAATGGTGATGTGTGGTTGGACTCACGTTTCACTGGACCGGTGACCGGTGTCGAGCCGGTTGGTGTGCCGGATGGTGTTGCAGAGCGTCGAGGCCGTCTCCTCCTCTTGCCAAACTTGTCAATGTAGTAGATGTAGAGATCGTCGTCGTCCGGTGTTGTGCTGGAAGGCGATGCTGTGTCTGGTGTCGCTCCGGGCTCTACAAACCAAAGAGAATGCAAGAGATTCACGTGATAACTTCTGTGTTGTTGGATGTGGGAGGAGGCAGTGACAGTGAGAGTTGCAGTGGCGAATGTGCATGTGGTTGACGAGTTCGTGTAAGTGTGTGTGTCTGTGTGTGCGTGTGTGTGTGTGTGAGTGAGTGGTTGAGTGAATGAGTGAGTGATTGTGTGTGATACGGGTGTCCCTTGTTCAGTTGTGACGACCGAGTGTGGATGTGCGGATGAGACAGGAGACGATTTCGGTGGTGCTTGTGTCTGTGAGTCTGACTGTCTGTCTGTCTGACAGAGTGTGTGCCTGCCTGCTGTCTGCCTGCTGCCTGCCTGTCTGAGTGTGTGTGTGGATTGCGGTGTGCGTTTCTGTTCGCATTGGCCTCCATCTCTCTCTCGCTCGCTCTCGCTCTCGCTTCCGCTCTCACTCTGTGTGTGTGCGTGTGTCTGAGTGTGAGGAGGAGGTGTTTTGTGTTCGATGGTGAGCGTTGCTGCGATGAGTGGAGCGGTGATAGACAGAGTTCGTGTACAAGTGTGTTTGTGTTTTGGTGTGTGTGTGTTGTGTTGTGTGTTGTGTGTGTGGGTGTGTCGCACGAAACATGTGACAACGTGTTGGTGTGTATTTGAGAGTGAGTCTGTGAGAGGTTGTTTGTGGGTGAGAGTATGTAGGAGTGGATGATTGGATTGTGTTGTGCAGCAGCCGAAGCCTGACGAGAGTGGAACACATGCACTGGAGTTGACGTGCGTGGCAGCACAGTGTCGCTGAGATGTTTGGCGCGACTCGCAATGGACAATGGAAGATTGACGGAAGGTGGATAGAAGGTTGTGAGTGACGGGACGTGCGATGCCGAAACTGGTGTGAAGATGTGTGTGGAGATGTGTGTGTAGATGTGTGGACAGTGGAGTGTGAATGGTGATGTGTGGTTGGACTCACGTTTCACTGGACCGGTGACCGGTGTCGAGCCGGTTGGTGTGCCGGATGGTGTTGCAGAGCGTCGAGGCCGTCTCCTCCTCTTGCCAAACTTGTCAATGTAGTAGATGTAGAGATCGTCGTCGTCCGGTGTTGTGCTGGAAGGCGATGCTGTGTCTGGTGTCGCTCCGGGCTCTACAAACCAAAGAGAATGCAAGAGATTCACGTGATAACTTCTGTGTTGTTGGATGTGGGAGGAGGCAGTGACAGTGAGAGTTGCAGTGGCGAATGTGCATGTGGTTGACGAGTTCGTGTAAGTGTGTGTGTCTGTGTGTGCGTGTGTGTGTGTGTGAGTGAGTGGTTGAGTGAATGAGTGAGTGATTGTGTGTGATACGGGTGTCCCTTGTTCAGTTGTGACGACCGAGTGTGGATGTGCGGATGAGACAGGAGACGATTTCGGTGGTGCTTGTGTCTGTGAGTCTGACTGTCTGTCTGTCTGACAGAGTGTGTGCCTGCCTGTCTGAGTGTGTGTGTGGATTGCGGTGTGCGTTTCTGTTCGCATTGGCCTCCATCTCTCTCTCGCTCGCTCTCGCTCTCGCTTCCGCTCTCACTCTGTGTGTGTGCGTGTGTCTGAGTGTGAGGAGGAGGTGTTTTGTGTTCGATGGTGAGCGTTGCTGCGATGAGTGGAGCGGTGATAGACAGAGTTCGTGTACAAGTGTGTTTGTGTTTTGGTGTGTGTGTGTGTTTGTGTTTGTGTGTTTGTGTGTGTGGGTGTGTCGCACGAAACATGTGACAACGTGTTGGTGTGTATTTGAGAGTGAGTCTGTGAGAGGTTGTTTGTGGGTGAGAGTATGTAGGAGTGGATGATTGGATTGTGTTGTGCAGCAGCCGAAGCCTGACGAGAGTGGAACACATGCACTGGAGTTGACGTGCGTGGCAGCACAGTGTCGCTGAGATGTTTGGCGCGACTCGCAATGGACAATGGAAGATTGACGGAAGGTGGATAGAAGGTTGTGAGTGACGGGACGTGCGATGCCGAAACTGGTGTGAAGATGTGTGTGGAGATGTGTGTGTAGATGTGTGGACAGTGGAGTGTGAATGGTGATGTGTGGTTGGACTCACGTTTCACTGGACCGGTGACCGGTGTCGAGCCGGTTGGTGTGCCGGATGGTGTTGCAGAGCGTCGAGGCCGTCTCCTCCTCTTGCCAAACTTGTCAATGTAGTAGATGTAGAGATCGTCGTCGTCCGGTGTTGTGCTGGAAGGCGATGCTGTGTCTGGTGTCGCTCCGGGCTCTACAAACCAAAGAGAATGCAAGAGATTCACGTGATAACTTCTGTGTTGTTGGATGTGGGAGGAGGCAGTGACAGTGAGAGTTGCAGTGGCGAATGTGCATGTGGTTGACGAGTTCGTGTAAGTGTGTGTGTCTGTGTGTGCGTGTGTGTGTGTGTGAGTGAGTGGTTGAGTGAATGAGTGAGTGATTGTGTGTGATACGGGTGTCCCTTGTTCAGTTGTGACGACCGAGTGTGGATGTGCGGATGAGACAGGAGACGATTTCGGTGGTGCTTGTGTCTGTGAGTCTGACTGTCTGTCTGTCTGACAGAGTGTGTGCCTGCCTGCTGTCTGCCTGCTGCCTGCCTGTCTGAGTGTGTGTGTGGATTGCGGTGTGCGTTTCTGTTCGCATTGGCCTCCATCTCTCTCTCGCTCGCTCTCGCTCTCGCTTCCGCTCTCACTCTGTGTGTGTGCGTGTGTCTGAGTGTGAGGAGGAGGTGTTTTGTGTTCGATGGTGAGCGTTGCTGCGATGAGTGGAGCGGTGATAGACAGAGTTCGTGTACAAGTGTGTTTGTGTTTTGGTGTGTGTGTGTGTTGTGTTGTGTGTTTGTGTGTGTGTGCCGCACGAAACATGTGACAACGTGTTGGTGTGTATTTGAGAGTGAGTCTGTGAGAGGTTGTTTGTGGGTGAGAG